GAATGTACCTTTTAGAGTATGTGGCTAGTTAGGTCGTTTCATCTTCCCCATCTAATACTATAAAAACTTATGTATGTTTTTGTTTATCCGAGGTGATCCTAGGCGCGATCAAGTTTGTGATCGTAACATGGTAAGAGAGCGACTCAGGAATCCTTCGCACTGTCATCCCCAACACTTTTGGCAAACTAAGCTGGCGTCTGGCATATGTTCGCGTGTAAGTATGGCGGAGGATCTGGAGGTCAAACAAATCCTACGGCTGACGCACCAACCAATCCAGTTGCGACATACGAGGCGATGATGACAATCATCTCCGTCTCACTCTAACAACTTCTTTAGCGACTCTCGACTTGGTGAAGCGGGAAACTCCCCGCAACCCTCTCAACCAGCCACAACTGGCCGTGATACCTTCCCGCACAAATGGATTGACACCCAAAGCCCCTCGCCCCAGCGATGGCACAATTCTCTTAGCTCAATCAAGGTTCCAGCAAATAAAAAAAAAACAAGGCAAGTGCCTGCCTTGACAACCTGGAGATTTCTATACGTGGAGCTTTGAGCTGGAGCTACTGCTATAGAACAGCATTATTTTTTCACTACTTCGACGGGAGCTATGCGGGAGCTTCGGCCAACACTGACGACACAAAAGTGCAGTATTGTAACGACTCGCTTATGGCATATAGCGTTTAGCTACGCAACATGTCGCCGACGGAGCAACTGGGAATTCGCTCCTACAAAACAACACCCACTTTGGCACTTGAAGCTTGGCGACACCTCACAAGGGTGTATCGGCCCAAGGACTTGGTGTTGTCGAGCCGACTAATCTAGTAGCTGATGGAGATTAGAATGGGACACGGGGAGAAGGCAAACAACTATATCAATTGTTGCTGGAGCGTACGCGATCAAATCATGAAACTCGGAAGCTTGATTTCAGAGGAAATCTTTGTGAACATCGTGCTCAAAAGACTCGGCCCCGAATGGCGACCATGCAAGGCGCTCCTCTGGCAATAGGGGTCTATCTCGGAAGCCGCTCTTTATACTGCCCTTCTTGTCGAACAACAGGATATGGATCAGAAGCGCCCCACGCCGCGACGAGGACGAGAACGTCCGAGGGAGGGGAAGCACCCTTCAAAGAAGGAGGGGAAGGGAGTGCCACAGGAGGCAGCTATACCTTGGGCAGTGGTCTCAGCCTTGAGAAGACGGGTCTCAAACGAGCCAAGGGTAAGCTCAGTGGGTTCTAGGGAGAGGAAGTGGTCTCGAACGGCACGAAGGGAGCTACGGAGGCGGGTTGTGAGAAGTATCACAATGTAAAAAGTAACTATGAAATGAAACATACAGCAAGATATATCCGGTGAACACTAACATAATCCTAGGTTAAGAATGTATACCTAGACTAACAAATATAAACTAAAACAAATATAGCTTGACACACCCCCATAGTCTAGGTGACGGTAGTGTGAGAATAAGAACGCGGAGTGAATGAACTAGCAAGCAGGTGGGTACAAGTATGAAAACCTAAAAGAGTTCTACCCCATATTGTCTACCCCACTACAGCCTACAAAGTAGTTTTGACACACCCCCATAGGCAAAGTGGGGGACAAGCAAGAGACAAGGCAAGGTCAAGCTCAGGGTGGATCACAATGTCACCACACATTCTGAGCACCAGTTCAAGGCCACAAGGCCAGTTCACATGCAATATTATAAAGCAAGGTGAACAAGCAAGGCAGTGATCTCAACCTAGCAAGGGTAAGCATGCAGGTACAGGTATATATAGATCACAGTACAAACATAGTCAAGAGGTAAGCAAGTGAGGCCCGGTAGGCACAAGACCTAGCAAAGTACAGAAGCGCTGATGATCACAAGGCTGAAGTGCCTTGGTAAAGATATCGGCAGTGTTGGCCCGAGAGGCCACGTAAGCAAGACGAAGCTGACCACGCTGCTGCAACTCTCGAGCAAGGAGGAAGTAGCGCAGAGCAATGTGCTTCGTTGTGTGCTGCGGTCTGTGCTCCTGACACAAGGCCAGCATGGCCTTGTTGTTGACGTACAGAACTGGAGGAGAACGAGGCGCCTCTCCCAAGTCGGTCAGCAGGTAGGTGAGCCAGCGTAACTTTTGTGCAGCCATGGCCTCGGGGTAGATCTTAGCCTCACAACTGGAGCCGAGAATAGAAGACGAGCGGGTAGACCGCCACAAAACAGAGCTAGAACCAAGGCTGAAAGTGTAACCCTATGACGACCGCTGCGTAGCCAAGTCCTCAACCCAAGAAGCGTCTGCGTGACCAGTGAGGACAGCTCGAGCCCGTCCTCCAAGCACGAGCCCCATGCCCGACGTACTGCACAGGTAGCGCAACACCCTCTTAGCTGCAGCCATGTGCTCTGGCCTGCATCTCCCAGAAGCAACATAGCGTGCCAAGATGCTAAGAGGGTATGCCAGGTCAGGTCGAGTGCAGGTCATCAGATACATGAGGCAGCCAACAAGCTCTGGGTACGGGCCACTCGGCTCTACGGACTCATCCGAAGGCAGAGCTGAGAGCGACTGGCGAGTAGACAGAGGAGTGGCCTGAGGCGAGGAGTACGTGAACTTGAAGCGCTGAAGAACCGTGCTGCACCATGTGTGACTGAGTCAAGGTAATGGTGTGCCGTGCTCTGTCCCGGTTGATCTGCAAGCCAAGACAGCTGCGCAGTTCACCCAGGTCTGTGCACGTGTGTCACTTTTGCAGCTCTGACTTCACGTGGGCGAGTCCCTCAGTATCAGCAGTGGCAAAGACCAAGTCGTCGACGTACTCGAGGATGTAGAACGGCGGCAGTGAAGTGTCGGTGCGCAGAAACAGCGACAGGTCAGCAGTAGAAGGAGCAAACCCAAGAGCCGCAAGCGTAGTCTTCAGTGTGTCGTGCCACTCACGAGGCGCCTGGCGGAGACCGTAGACTGGCCCCTGGAGGCTCCACTGGGTACCAGGAGGAAACGACCCAGTAAAGCCAGGTGGGCGGCGCACCCAGATCTCCTCGTGCAGGCTGCCCTGTAGGAAAGAAGTGCTGAAGTCAAGAGAGTGAAGCTCGTAGTCACGCTGAGCAGCGACGTGCAGCAGAACCCGAAGAGTGGTCATCTTCGGGGTCGGGGAGAAGGTCTGGAAGAAGTCAACTCCGTGTCGCTGACTGAAGCCTCGAGCAACGTAACGCGCCTTGAAGACAGGCCGAGAACCCGGCGGCCGCTTCACCCTGAAAATCCACATGCCACTAACGATGTTCACCCTAGGAGGGGGAACCTCGTCGACGTAATTGCTTGTGGACTTCCAGGATGCCATCTCTACGTCCATGACTTGACTGCCACTGAGAGGAGTAAAAACCCTCTATCACCTCTGCGTAAGAGCGCGGGGTCGGGATGTCTGGTGCATCCGGGTCTCCCTCAGCTGCAATCAGCATGGACACGAGATGAGGTACAGCGGCTGCAAAGCACTCAAAGTCCTCCTGCCTGTCCTCAAGGACGTCCTTGCCAAGAGCACACTCACCCCCGACCGACGGAGGACAGATAGACGCAGACGCAGCAACAAGACTCGTAGCGTAGTCGAGACGACAGTGAGCAGCAAAGTTGACAAGCTCAGCAACTAAGGCAGACCCGGTAGTGGACTCAAAGAAAGGGTCAGTGACAACAGTGGCCAGGAGACGGGTGATAGTAGGACTAGCAGCACGAAGGGAGTCAGACTCCGGGTTAGAAGGGGCAGGAAGAGAGGACTCAGGAGGAGACGGCAGAGGGACACGCTGTGGAGCAGAGGAAGGGTGCAGAGCCATCCGGTGCGTGCCAGGGACAGGAGGAGGACGCTGATGCGAACCACGACGACTAGTGCTAGCAGCACGAACAGGCGACAGCAGGACGAGACGCAGGCTCACGACGCTCAGCAAGGCCTCCGGTTGGACCAGTGTAAGGAGAAGGAGCAGGCAGTGGGGAGGCGGGCTGTAACTATGACTGCGACTGGACAGGCGGCGAACACCCTAAGGAAGGAGCAGGACCAGTAGAAGGCGGAAGACCAAGAACCTGCTGAAGGAGCGGAACGTAGTGCGGCTGCGGCCGCGCAGCGCCTCCAGAACAAGCAGGGACAAAACCAGCACCCCCAGTGGCAGCTCCAACTCTAGCAGTACCACTAGCTCCAGCAGCACCTCCAGCAGCACCAGAAGTGCCAACTCCAGCCCCCACAGGAGCACCAGCTCCAGCAGCACCTCCAGCTCCAGCACCTCCAGCAGCTTCTGCTCCAGCAGGACCACTAGAAGTTCCAGCAGCGCCAGCAGCTCCAGCTTCAGTACCTCTAGCAGCACCTGCCCCAGCAGCACCGCTAGCTCCAGCACCTCCAACAGCTATAACTCCAGCAGCACCACCAGGCCCAGCGGCTCCAGTACCTTCAGTACGAGCACCTCCGGGACCCGTGGCCCCAGAATTGTTGGAGTAGGCCAGAGCTCGCTCTGGTCTTTATTTTGGTGTTCTTATATTATTTCTCAATGCTTAGAGAAAGTTACGCATTGAGATTCATTTAAGGTTCATTTCGTAGTTTTTAGTACAAACTGAACACACCCTAGGTTCGACTAGGGTTTCCAACCCTCTCTCTTTTGTACCTCGACATTTTCTCTTCCTAGTTCAATTTTTTTGACCCTACCTAACTCTCTCGTCATCCATGGCCCCTCTCATCTTAACATGGTATCAGAGCGTAATCATAGGCGTTTCACATTCATCCATATTTCTTAGATAATCTCCGGCCCTTAGGCCGTTTTCCGCGCTACTTAGCTAGACGAGTTTTTTTGTCCTTTCCTCTCGTTTTCTTTCCTGTCACTCTTAGCATCCGCGCGGTTCTCTTCGTTATACTCACTCGGGGGCCCTAATCTAGTCCGAAGCGCGCCTCCCTACCATTCAGATTATCCGCTCGCACCTTCCCTCTTCATCCCGCTTTCCTCCTTCTCACGTTTCGAACGGTAGCACGCCGATTTCCGCCCGTAACGTGCTCAGCCGTCCCCTCCCTCCCTCCATGTCTCGTCGCGCGCGCATTGCGCTTTTGCCGCCGCGCGCGCTAAGCACCGTCCAGCAGTGCGCGTGCCTGCCCTTCTTTGCGGTGTGCTCTGCCCTTCCTCAATCCGCCCCTTCCCTCACCCTCCTCCTCCTTCCCTCCTCCTTTGTGCTTCCCCCAATACCTCACCTCTTCCTCCTCCTATTTTCTCTCCTCATCTGCTGCGGCTCGCAGCTCCTTGTGGCGCGCCCTGCCCTTCCCACAATCCGCCCCTTCACCCTCCTCCTCCTCCCCTCTCTCCCACTAGTTCCCTCTCCACTATCTCACCCCTCCTCCACCTCTTTTCTCTCTTCATCTGCTGCAGCTGGTAGCTGATTGTGTTGTGCAGCTGTTTTTCCTCCACACCTTCCCTCCTCCTCAACATCCTCCTCTCAACTGCTCAACTGCCCACTCTTCCCAACTCTCCCTCCTCCTCTTGTTTCTCCCTTCAGCAGCACAGCAGTAGACTTCTCCGCCGCTATCCCTCCTCCTCTGGTTTCTCCCCTCATCGGCGCAGCAGCAGACTATTCTGCCAATTTCCCTCCTCCTCTGGTTTCTCCCCTCATCGGTGCAGCAGCAGACTACTTCGCCATTTTCCCTCCTCCTCTAGTTTCTCCTCGCATCGGCTCAGCAGCAGACTACTCCGCCACTTTCCCTCCTCTTGTTTCTCCCCTCAGCGGCTCAGCAGCAGACTACCCCGCCCTTATTCCTCCGCCTCTTATACCGTTCCCCACATCTGCTCTGCAGCTGTTTCCTCCTCCTCATGGCGACCTCTCTCGCCCTCCCCTCCCTCCCTCTGCTGGTCCTTCAGCTTGCGCCCGATGGCAGTGCACTCAACTTCCCCAGTTGGCTGAATTGTCTTGAGCACACGCTGTCTGGCACCCTCGTGAGTGGCTTTAACCTTTGGTTTGTCACTCAGCAGAGTGGTTCTGGCGCCATTCCCACCTCTCCCTCTGGACCCACCTCTTCCTCCTCTGACCCCTATGCTGATGGCCTCTGTGCTGCCATTGCTGAAACTGAGCGGCTTGTGACCTCGGCGGAAGCCACCGCCACGGCTGCTCCTGAGAATGCTGCTGCCCGTGACTTAGCTCGTATTCTTGCTGAGTCCCTCGAGAGCACCCGCGAGCACCTCACTGAGCACCTCGCTGCCCCTTCTCCTCGCTCTGCGTCTACGCCCATTTTCTTTTCCATCTCACTCTGACCTTCTCGCTGACTAGCATGCTGCCAACGCACGTGCCTGTTAGGTCATCCTTGCCTGCCTCCCTCCAACTCTTCTCCCTCAGTGCTCGCACATCCGCTATGCCAAGGACCTTCTCGGCTATCTTACCGAGCGCTTCCAGTCGCAGTCTCCTATCAGTGTCATTGCCCTCTTACGCGAGCTCACCTCTCTTTGCCTTGCTGACTTCACCACCATGGCGGACTACATCGCTCGTGTGCAGACGCTGTCCTCCCAACTTGCCTCTCAAAAGTTTGAACTTTCCGATCATGTGTGCGGTGCCCTCCTCCTCACAGGCCTCACTCCTGAATACAGTGTTCATGTCACTCTTTATGGTGAGCGCCCTGCCGACCAGTGGTCGTTCTCTCATGTCTCTGCCTTCCTCCTCCAGGCAGAGCTCAACCTCTGTAGCTGCCCTCCTACTGTCGCCGCTGTCATACCCTCTTCCACCCCCCCCCCCCCTCTCCCCACCTCCACTGCCGCCGCTGCTTCCTCTCGCCCTCGCAACACCTTTCCTCCTTGCACCTACGTCATTTGCCAAGGGCCCCGCAAGGGTCAGCCCTGCGGTCGCACCAATCATCTCGCCTCCTGCTTCCAGAAGCTCACCAATGACTGGTTCCTGGCTGGCAACACTGGTCGCCCTCTCAATTGGATTCAACTCTCTCGTCAGCGTCGCCAGTCTTCTGCCCAGGCGGTACTTGTGGCTGCCGACTCTGGTACCAGTGCTCAAACCTCTACTCTCAGTGTGACTATGCCTAGTCAGGATAGCATTCCGGGGGCTTCTCCCCTTATGGACCCTCGCTTTGCCATGATGTTTGCTCCTTCTGTTAATGGCAATGATTCTCAGTATCTTCGTCCCACAGCTGCTGCTCTTTCTCTCCCTCATTATTGAGTTTGTTCTTGACAGTGGTGCCACTGAATCTGTTTTTCGTGACGCTGGTGTGCTTCGCTCTTTTTCCCATCCCCTCTCCATTCACAGAGCTGGGGATACCATGACCATGACTTGCACTACTACCTCCTCTCTTCCCTGTCCTGCCTCCCCTTCTGGTGCCGTGACTAGCCTCTATCTCCCTTCCTGCCGCCACAACCTTCCCTCTCTCTCTGCTCTTCAACGTCTTTGTGTGCGAGCTATCTTTCCTGAATATGACTCCTATTGTGATCTCTAACATTGCAACCGCCATCTTGCACGCTTTACTCTTTCCCCTTTCACTCGCCTCTACACTCTTCGTGTCTCTCTCCCCCTTTCTGCCCATCATGCCTCTTCTGCTTCCGCCCCTCCCGTTCCTTCTTGCGACTGTCGTTCTCTCACTCAACCTTGTCAAACATATGCATATGTTATATTTGTGGGTAGGCTGTAGTGGGGTAGACACTGTGGGGTATAACCCCTTAGGGTATTTCTCCTTGTACCGTTCTCTCAATAGTTTCATTCATCCTATGCCTAGCTTCTAAGATGGTATAAGAGCATAGGTCTTTAGGACCTAAGTCTAGGGCCCACCGGTTACCACGTTACCTCACCTACGGCCTTGCGTGCCTGTCTGCCTTGCCCGCTGCCCGCGCGCGCCTCGGCTGCATGCGCGCGGTCCTTTTTTTTTCCCGCGCGCGCCACTTACGCAGCCCGTGCGCAGCCCGCTTTTCGGCCCTGCGTGTGCCGTCAGCCGCCCGCGCAGCCTGCCGCCGGCCCGCACGCCACGTAAGCCGCCCACGCGCAGCCCGCTTAGGTCCTGCGCGCCGCGTCCGCTGCCCGAGTAGCCCGCTTTCGGCCCCGCGCGCCGTGTTAGCCGCCCGCGCAGCCTGCCGCCGGCCCGCGCGCCGCGTCTTCAGCATGTGCAGCCCGCTGCTGCCCTGCGCGTCGCCTCCTCCGGTCGCGCAGCCCGCACCTGCTCTGCGTGCCGCCTTTAGGAGCCAGCGCGCGGCCTACTGCTGCACCGTGCGCCGCCTTAGCAGCCCGCGTGCGGCCCACTGCTGCACCGCGCGCCGCTTTAGAGGCCCACGCGCGGCCCACTCCTACCCTCCGTGCTGCCTTAGGAGTCCGTGCACCGCCACTGCAGTCCATGCGCCACCACTCTAGCCTTGCACGCCATCTCTCCTTGCTTGCCTTTTGCTTTGCCGCCTGCGCACTAGACTTGCCTACGCTGCATGCATGGTGACTCTCAACGTGCTCACGTTCGATCCTCACGGTCGCCCAGTAGAGTTTACCACCTAGCTTGACGACCTGCAACCGTTCCTTCTGACTGATGCCAAGGATGGTGTTTCCCTGTTCGATTACGTGTCTGGCACTGCTGTTGCTCCTGCTGACACTGAGCCTGCTCTAGACCGCTCCAAGTGGCAGACCCACGATGCTGCTGCGCGCCTCGCTATTCGCAACCATCTTCCGATCACAAAGCGCGCACATTTTAACCAGCACAAGACTGCCAAGGCGCTGTACGACGCTGTAGGCGGCGGGGTGGTGGTGGAGGCGGCGGGGGCGGTGGAGGTGGTGGGGGTGGTGGAGGGAATGGAGGTAGTGGTGGGGGTGGTGGTGGTGCCGGGAGCAGTGGCGGTGGTGGCGGAGGGGGGAGTGGTGGTGGTAGCGGTGGTGGGGGCTTGGGTGAGACCGGTAGTGGCCAGGGACAGCAGCAGCAGCATCAGTAGCAGCAGCTACAACATCGTCAACGCCAGACCCTCACTTCCCAGCAGCTTCTTGACTGGTATGCCGGGCATGGGGCGTCTGGGGGTCTTGGTCGCTGCCCCTATATCATTCGCACAGGTCCCCGCGCTGGTCGCCAGTGCACAGGCTTTCACAATGAGTACCGCTGTTTCGCTCGGCTTAGCGATGCCTGGCGCGTCAAGTTTCCTGATGCTACTGAGTTCCCCAACTGGGCAGACCTGCTTAGACGTGATGTACCTATCTTTGATCTTGACTATGAAACTATTATTGCTGCCATGTATGCATTGACTGTTAGTGCTGAGGGTGACTGCTACTTGTGTGTGCCGCCTGACCCCGGTATAGCCCCAGGTATAGCGCCTTCAGCTCTAGGTGCTTGTGAGTCTGCTCTCCCTGGTACTGAGTCTGCACAGGCCTTGCACACCTTAACACTTGACTCTGGTGCTTCCCGTTGTTTCTTTCATGACAGCACCACAGTCACTCCCCTCCCTGCACTTGTCCCTGTCTCACTGGCTGACCCCTCTAGGGGCCCAGTGCTTGCACGGTCTTCCACTGTGCTTCCGTGTCCGGCGGTCCCGTCTGGTGAGCTGTCTCGTCTCCACCTACCCTCGTTCTCTACGGACTTGGTGAGCAACGCCGTCCTCCATGATCATTGGGTTGACACCTTTACTCCTGGAGGACAGCGTGTGGCGATCTGCACGTGCTCCCGGACTGGCCGTCACCTGGCCACGTTCACGCGTGCACCTGGGTCGAGTCTGTACACCCTCACCACTACGTCGCGCTACGTCCCTTTGTCTCCCCAGCTGTATGAGTCTGCTCAGGTAGCTACTCAGTGTGAGTGTCGCCGCTTGTCACACGACACTCTCCTATGGCACCCCGCCTTGGTCACCCCTCCTTGCCTCGCCTTCGTAGCATGCACTCTCGCTTCCTGGTCTCTGGCCTTCCCGGGTCTCTGCCTGCCCTCCCTCCCTTGCCTGCACCGCCCTGCATTCCCTGCGTCGAGGGGCAGCAGCGCGCCGCCCCTCACTCCTCCTCGTTCCCTCCCACAGAGGCTCCACTGCAGACTCTCCACCTGTCCGTGGACAGGGCCACGAGCGGTACTTCATGTTGGTCGTCGACGACTACACGCGTTACACCATGGTCTTCCCTTTGCAGAGCAACGGGGAGGTCCCTGATGTTTTGATCCCCTGGATCCGCGCTGTTCGTCTCCAGCTCCGCGAGCGGTTCCACTCGGACTTTCCTGTCTTGCGTCTGCACTTTAACAGGGGTGGTGAGTTCTCCTCAGACCTCTTGGCAGCCTTCTGTGCGGAGCACGGCATCCGCCAGACATTCACGCTTCCGGCCTCTCCACAGCAAAATGGGGTTGCTGAGCGCCGCATTGGCTTAGTCATGGAGGTCGCTCGTACCTCCATCATCCATGCGGCTTCCCCCCATTTTCTGTGGCCGTTTGCGGTCCCATACGCCGCGCATCAGCTCAACCTTTGGCCCCGTGTCTCCTTGACGGAGACATCGCCCACACTGCTGTGGACGGGGAAGGTTGGCGATGCGTCGCGTTTCCGGGTCTGAGGTGCTCGTGCCTTAGTCCGCGATACCACGGCGGACAAGCTTTCCGCTAGCCCCATTCCCTGCGTCTACCTTGGCTTTGTCCCTGACGCGCCTGGCTGGCAGCTTTACGACCCTGCCTCGCGCCGTGTCTTTACGTCTCAGGACGTCGCCTTTGACGAGTCCGGCCCCTTTTACCGTCTCTTTCCCTACCGCACTGTCCCTCGCCCCCCCCGCCGCTCTTCCTTGCCCCAGGTCCTCCCCAGGTAGACCCCCTCCCCGCGCCAGGTCCTGCTCCTTCAGGTGTTTCTCCGGTAGACCCTCCCGTGCCTGCGCCTGTTGAGGTCACTGGTGACTCAGGTCCTGCTGGGGGTGGTGCTGTCTTTGGGGGTGCTGGGCCTGGGGGTGCGGAGCTTGGGGGTGCTGAGCCTCGGGGTGTGGAGCCTGCGCGTGAGGACCCCGGAGGTACTGAGCCGGGGGGTGCGGAGTCTGGAGGCGCTGAGCCTAAGCATGAGGAGCCTGGAGGTGCTGAGCCTGCACGTGAGGAGCCTGGAGGTCCTGAGCCTTGGGGTGCTGCATCTGGAGGTGCTGAGCCCGGGCGTGAGGAGCCTGGGGGTATTGAGTCTGGGGGTGCGATGCCTGCGGGTTCTGAGTCTGCTGCTGCGCAGTCTCCTTGGAGTGGCCGCCTTCGTCCGCGTGTGCCTCTCACCTCACAGCAGCTGCACGACTAGTACGGTCGCCGTCAGGGTCGCGCTTCTGGAGCTCGGGGCTCTGCTGCTGGAGGTGCTTCTGCTGACGT